GTTCATTTGCTTAGTATTTAAAAGATTATACGTCTATGTTGCATGTTATAATTAATATGATTGAAACAGTATTTTTGTAAACCGATGATTGATCATACTCACCGACAAAATTTATATCTTTTCTAACAGTTAACAGAAGTTAATACAGCACCCTGATGTTAATAAAATTTATTACTGGATCAACTGATTTCCCAAATGATAAATATTTGTTTAATGTTCATTAAGATTAACTCTCTAAAATCTGTGTTATTTACATCTAATAAAGATAGATGATGGTAGAGGTGTAGTGGACTTTATTCACAAGGGTGTTTGTAAGTAGTGTAGCAGAACGTGATCTCGGAGTTGCAACAATTTTCAAACAGAGTGACGAGTTACAGTACATCGAAAGCGCCGTTGACAGAACACTTAGAGGGCAGTCGGGAAAACTGTTCAGATTGTAGAACACACCGAATGATGCAAATGAACAATTGAAGGTTATGTATATCTTTTATGTACATACTTCATAACTCCTTGCATTTTAAGTATCTTACTCCTGCCTATTGTCGTGTTGTACAGAAGTTCTTAACATTCTCAAACAAACTATAATCCAATGTTAGATAGAACTTTGAAAAAATGACTGATTATTACATACATTGATAAACTGAAAGTATGTTTTAAAACCGAAACCCCTTTTATTTGTTTTTATCATTTCCGAAGTTAAAAAAAACATGCAACATACAAGATCAGTACAGTATTTCAATGGTTAGTTTTCTCAAATAAAAATCAAAGAATTTCTTGATTCATATTTAACCTATATAACTTCCTGTATCACATATCTAGCCCATACATGAGATATATTAGTGTTCATTCACCACGAGCATTATATAATATTATTATCATTGAGTTACATAAGTAACTATGACAACGTTTTCTAATTACAGCATACTTCTTTATTTAAAAAAAGAAAACAAGGGAGCGAGATCCAATAAGCCATGACTGAATGGAGGTATACGCCATAAATTACTATATTCATACAGTTTATTTTTTTTTGATTTATTCAAGACAGTCCTAATGGAAATGGATATTATTTTCAAGCCGAATAGAATTTTCTATTAAGATATATTAAAGAAATTGAAAAGAAAAAAAAATTTCTTGTTTACTTATCAAAAATTACACATTTCATTTCATTACTATTTTCATGTATATTTGTACGTATACAAATATACGGGTGTGTATATTTTACCTCAAATCCAATATATTACTGATTACTATTTTGTCCATTATTTGATGCTTTACGTATCTATTAGCATTTACATAAATATACAATCTATATACTTATAAACATAAGTAATATACATACTGATTTTTGAAAATATACAAATGCTTACAACGACAGAGTATGCATAATCGCGTGCATAAACTTTATATATATATATGCAGTAAAAGTAATTTGTCCGAAAAAAATACACACTTATATGTCAATCATGATACTCTTCTTCCTTGTCAATCATAATGATCCTAGTATTCTAGTATTGTTTTACATTTCAATCAGTTGTTCAATGATTTACTAAGTAATTCACTAGTTTTCTCTTTTATGCTTAGAATTGAAAGTAAGACGGATAGTGAATGAAATGAAAGTGTGAGAGGGAGTGTATATATCGTTGTGTTTATATAACTATTTCTTTGTTATTATTTTTTAATCATCTCCTTAGTATTTTCTATATCGAAACGAATTATATGAACCAACTATAGTTTATCTTAATTACATCATCTTTATTATTTTAATATACATAAGATTTTCTCATTTAAATGTATCTTCGACATAGAACTAATAACTTTCATTTCATATTCAAATCTATTCAATATAGAGGGTATATGATAATTATAGTACTTTATACTCTACATCTTCGTATGATTATATCAAAACAGTTACTAAAATTTAGAAAGTAGCGGTTATCTGTTTCGTCATAATTTTGGACCCCTCAGTAGTAGGTATCTGTCGGGGATCGAACCAAGGGCATTCATGAATTTCAAGTGGGGCTTAACATTCAGAACACTAATTAAAAAAGACTAAATGATCTTAATTAATACGTATATGTGTTTTCTGGTTCATATAAGCAACAGAACTGAGTAAATTAAATGTAGTTGACAGGACTCAATAAAATTAAAATTTTACTATCAATCTGGTCTAGTAATAAAAGTTTGAATCTTTAATTTGTTACTTAGGACAAACTCGTAAGTCCTGTTCTCATGAAATTCAGTATTTTAGTTCAAATAGTTTGGTGAAATTTGGAGCGAATATTGATTTTCTCAAAAAGATTGACGAAGGTCGATGATTAAGAAACGAAACACTAGCTCATTAATTTCATAAACTGTAAATATTTACAGAATACTTAAGCTTATAATTTACCTTTTCTTATTGATTAAGTTATTATTGATCATTGATTTCCTATGCATAATCGGAATTTTCATCCAGTAGTTTACTATTATGTGTTTTGATTTTTAATAAGAATTAAAATTTGTATGCTTGATAACATATTAAAAGAAGAAAGCCGGAAAAGAAAAATGTCATGGAAACAGGCTACTAGTTCTTATGTTGCTAATATTAGTATTTGTCAATATATTAATAATGGCAACAATAATGATGATAATAGCTTTGTCTATAGTTAAGGTCTTGTCCTCGTTGTGAAATCGGCTTCCGTTTTATACTTTATCCGCCCAGTCAATTCAATATATTATATTCATCCAGTTATTCAGTTAAGCAGTCACTCAGTCAGTCAGTCAGTAAACTTCGTTCGTCCGTCCTTCTATACATTCAATCGTCTATTTATTTTTTTTTCATAGCCCTCCCTCAACTATACTATAGTACCAGTGCCACTATCACGAACAACAACATCAGCATGAATAAAGTTAAAAATTAAAAAAAATAAAATAATAATCTAATATTGTATGAAAGTGATGGCGGAAATACATACTGTTTCAAACATGAAATAAAGATATTTAAAAGTGTGAGTTAAAAATTATGACACACATGCATATAGACACATTTGGATAGACATATAGACGAAGAGTATATGTGTCGGCGTTCGCTTCTCAGAAAATAATAGCTATTATTATTATTATTCTAGCAGTAGTAGTAGTAATAGTAATAATAGTAGTAGTAGTTTCCACTTGACTTAAATTAATTTGGATTACTGAATTATCAACAATGTGTACCCACATGAAAACCTTTTTTTTCTCTAAAAAATTGAGAAATTCTAAAGAATAAATGTAACTTTATTCTGTATAAAAAACAACAGAATAACAAATCTGAATAAGTTCTTAATAATACTACTACCTGATTAAGTGAATCCATCACACATACGTATCAAGTACAATTTGTAGGTAACTTGACATTTATTTTGACTTTTTTTTAGTATTCAATTTGTTGAGAAAGTTGTTCACAGGAAATAATAACATGGTAATACCATTCAAGTTAACATGACAGATGGAAAAAAAATAATAATAACCGAAAGGTGTTTAGATGAAGTAGTATGTAGTAGAAGATGATTGAAATAACTTAGAGTCTATAGAATAAATACATTGTTAATAATAATTGCTTATTATAAAAGATAATCTAATTTAGGAATTTCGTGGAGTTTACCTCCAACTACCAAGTATCAAAACAAACCAATAGGAATTAGTCTTAAACTTCTGAATCTACTGATTATATTAAAATGCGGTAAGCAGAATTTGATAACCACTTATGAATAACCATAACATGGAATATTAATAAGTGATCAATTAGTACAGAATATTCGAATCCAATGGCTCAATGATAACTCTTCTAACCGTAATAACTGTCGATATGGATCTGAATTTCTACTGATTATCGGGTTTCTCAATATAACTAGGAAGTCTTGCTAAAGAGTCCCAACTAGCATGAAACTTGTGTCGAACTCGTAGATGATTGCATTCAATTGACAGCTATTATATTTGCGTAAATTTCGGATGGAGTGATAACAAATATGAAGGCAGTAAACTGAATAATAATCAAGAGAGACAACACAAAAACGAAAAAAATAAACTAGAGAGAGTAACCAAAACTTAACTTGTTCAAAAGGAAGTTACATTACCAATATTGACTGAAAGAACTACCTACAGAATCGTTAATAATTGATTTTCAAAACTAGATATATATATTCAGAAGGGTTACATTTATCTGCATAGCAGTGAAATACTCAGAAACTTTGTAAGTCATTTTCCGGTTTCTATTTTGATAGGAATGTATACGATAAATGTTCAGAACTTGTCAGTCAGTACACGTTTAAAAAATTCGATGCAGATGAATGCATTATTTTAAAAAAAAATGATATAGATGTGGTTCAATTAGATTTGTGATAAATTTCAAGTTTATTGATTTCCAAGCGATTACGTGAATACTTGAAGGATTTTTGTAGAGATTGATATAACTTGTAGATTGGGTTCATCATAAATGTCACTAATGGAGTTCAAATATACCCGGAGTGAAACAATTATTATCAGTGGTCTTGAATGATTTTTATGCCGTATTACGGAATAGATTCAAGTAGAAGTTGTACTACTGGCAAACAACCTAGCGGTTCTAGTGGTCACTCGTTCATCTTTGAATCTTTAAGTCCTGGGTTTGATTACTGGCGTGCCAGTGGATGAGCACTGCTGAAGAGATCCAGGTAATTTGAACCTATGCACACAGCTTAGCTCAATGATCAGTGATTCCATAGATTAATGCCAGTATTATCCTTCAGATATCCAATGACATTGACTTGTTTTAACGATTAACAGCCATTCAGAATAAAATGCCATACTTTTAGCAAATTGATGAAACATTTAATTTTACCTTCATACCAATAATTGAAACTAAAGATTATCCATTTCAAACTAGAATATCCTAATTACATTAATATGTTCCACCTTTTATTACAACAATCAAATTAAACATATTTTTTCAAGGAAAGTTAAAATAACTCATATTCAATTTGTTATATTAAAATATTACTTACCATGAATAAGTGGATCTGATTGAAATTTTGATTTTAAACTATAAATATACCGGGAACAAAAATCTTTACATAATTCATTCACTTTATGTAATTCCAATAAATGTATACGTAATACTTGGATAGCTTTGACTATCTATAATAAAAAAAAAGAATTTAATAAAAAATGTAAAATATATGATGAAGCATAATATATTACTTTTAATCATAATTTATAGTTAATAATGTTTTAAATCATAATAATTATGAATGAATTGGATCCTTACTGATCCATTTATGAAATAAATAGTTGTTCTATTTTCAGAAGGGGATTTTGTGGAGATTTTAGTGATTTTATATAGTTGAAATCATGAGTCATTTGAAGCTAGATCACCAGGGGAAACCTGGAAGCATTGGACGAGCGATTCGTCTTATTGTGGGACTCCTCGACAGTGCGCATCTATGATCTCACATCGCGAGATTCGAACCCAGGACCTATCAGTGTCGCGCGCGCGAGTGTTTAGCCGTTAGACCATTGAGCCGGTCGGCATCCAACAGTGTTAATGTCTAACTTCAACTAATCCACGAAATTGAGCGACAAATTTATCAGTGAGTTACTATCTCACAACAGACCTGGTTGAACTCCACTAGTCACTACTTCTCACTAGAACTCAAAAAATACCTCTTGATGCCAATTGTTAGTGAGCATATGTTAATTAATATCAGAAAGGGGTTTTTCTGTAGATTTTAGTCATAAAGTCAGTCAACCTATATCTTTCCCATCATATTTTAATATTAAAAACAAAAAAATGATCATCAATTACATGATTAACATTTACTTCAATTTCTTCTTTAAGTACATCAATTACAGTGTTACTTAATATAGAGTGAAATACCCTTATACTACAACGGTTACAACTACTTATTAAAAATTGTTAATGAGAGATATGAAATTTTTAAAAGCTGAATAACTCAAACTTTATGGTAAATATCATGAGTCAATTGAAGTTAGACCACTATGGAAAACCTGGAAGCACTGGACGGCCGTTTCGTCCTATTGTGAGACTTTAATAATCGTATTAAGAATTATCAAATTAAAATAACTACTTATTTTTCACTTAGAAGTATATATTCTCATCAATACATTAGTTTACGTGAATCATTGTACACATTCTTAAAAACATGTTGGTTTTAAATCAATAAACAGGAGAACTATTTATTCATTTTTTAATAACTTACAGGTTTCATTAAATTCATTTGTTAATAACCTATGATTATTTAATCAATAGATGATGTAAACATACAAAATATGCTTTAATATTTACACTTTTATGAACTCCGCCTGTAGCCCTTCTGAGGGCTAGTGTCGATTCCAAGCCCGGATAAAGGAGGAAGGTTAGGCATGAGGTTACTGACCCTATCCCATAGAAAACTAACCCGCTAAAAAGAAACACTAACCAGAAAAAGACCCACTTCTATCACATAAATGATAATTCATTAAAGATTTTATTATCAAACAATTTAACACTATTATATCAAGCTGCTAACTCCGCCTGTAGCTCTTCTAGAGTTACTGCCGGTCCCAAGCCCACACAAAGGAGGAGGGTTGGGCATGGGGTTAGCGACCCCATCCCGTAGAAAAGCTAGCTCGCTAAAAAAACGTTAACCAGAAAAAATAATTCAAACCATTTAAACTCTGCCCTCCGAGTTCAAGGAATAATTATGACGTCTCATGATGAAAGCCGAAATTCTTCGGAAGTCACGAGACCGATGCACCTTCTAACAACCAGAGCAACACTCTTTATAGGTACATGGAACGTCCGGACAATGTGGGAGACAGGAAAGACCAGCCAAATAGCAATGGAAATGCGGAGATACAACTTGGCAGTACTCGGAATCAGCGAAACCCATTGGACACAAACTGGACAACAAAGGCTAGGTACAGGAGAGATGCTGCTGTACTCCGGTCACGAAGGGGAAAACGCTCCACACACTCAGGGAGTTGCTCTAATGCTGTCCAAAGAAGCACAAAATGCACTTGTGGGATGGGAATCTCATGGACCCAGGATAATCAAAGCATCATTCAGAACAAAGAAGCAAGGGATCACAATGAACGTTATCCAATGTTATGCACCCACCAATGATAGCAACGACGATGATAAAGATCAGTTCTATGAAAGGCTGCAATCAATTGTAGCAAAGTGCTCAAGTAAGGACCTCACCATCCTGATGGGAGATCTAAATGCTAAAGTTGGAGTGGACAACACAGGATATGAAGATATAATCGGACGACACGGACTAGGAGAAAGAAATGAAAATGGGGAGAGACTTGCAAACCTATATGCTTTCAACAAATTGGTTATAGGCGGCACAATATTCCCACACAAGCGCATATACAAAGCTACATGGATCTCACCGGACCATACCACAGAGAACCAGATAGATCACATCTGTATCAACAAAAAATTCCAAAGATCAATGGAAGATGTGAGAACCCGGAGAGGAGCTGACATAGCTTCAGATCACCACCTGGTTGTGGCCAAGATGAGACTGAAGCTTAAGAAAGACTGGACAACTGGACAAACAGCACTACAAAGGTTCAATACAGCCTTCCTTCGAGATATTGACAAGCTCAATGAATTCAAGATAACTCTCAACAACAGGTTCCAAGCTCTACAGGATCTACTGAAAGAACAAGAAACTACTTTGGAGGACAACTGGAAAGGGATAAAAGAAGCACTAACTTCAACGTGTCAGGAGGTTCTTGGTCCTAAGAATCATCATCACAAGGAATGGATCTCTATGGGAACCCTAGACAAAATTCAAGAAAGGAAGAACAAGAAACTAGCAATTAACAACAGCCGAACACGAGCAGAGAAAGTCAAAGCACAAGCAGACTACGCAGAAGCAAACAGAGAAGTGAAGAAAAGCATTAAAGCCGACAAGCAGAAATACATGGGAGAACTAGCAACGGCGGCGGAAAAAGCTGCAAGAGAAGGGAATATGAAACAACTATATGATACAACGAAAAAATTGGCAGGGAGATATAGCAAACCAGAGAGACCAGTCAAGGACAAAGAAGGAAAGACAATCACTGAGATTGAAGAACAGAGGAAAAGATGGGCAGAATACTTCGAGGAACTGCTGAATAGACCAGCCCCATTGAATCCACCGAACATCGAAGCAGCCCACACAGACCTTCCAATAGATGTCACTCCACCAACGATCGAAGAAGTCAAGATGGCCATCAGACAAATCAAAAGTGGGAAGGCGGCGGGACCTGACAATATACCAGCAGAAGCATTAAAGTCAGACATTGAAATAACTGCAAACATGCTTCACCTTCTATTCAAGAAGATTTGGGAAGAGGAACAAGTGCCAACGGACTGGAAAGAAGGATATCTCATCAAGATACCAAAGAAAGGAGATCTGAGCAAATGCGAGAACTACAGAGGTATCAGTTTGTTATCAGTACCAGGAAAAGTTTTCAACAGAGTGCTGCTGAATCGGATGAAAGACGCAGTAGACGCCGAACTAAGGGATCATCAGGCTGGATTCCGTAAGGATCGGTCGTGCACAGACCAGATTGCGACACTACGGATCATCGTCGAACAATCAGTTGAGTGGAACTCATCACTATACATCAACTTTATTGACTACGAGAAGGCGTTTGACAGCGTGGACAGGAGAACATTATGGAAACTTCTTCGACACTATGGAGTTCCTCAGAAGATCGTCAACATTATCCAGAACTCATACGATGGATTACAGTGCAAAGTGGTGCATGGAGGACAGCTGACAGGTGCATTTCCAGTAAGGACCGGAGTCAGACAAGGCTGTCTACTCTCCCCATTCCTCTTCCTTCTAGTGATTGACTGGATTATGAAGAATTCGACATCTGAAGGGAAATACGGAATACAATGGACAGCTCAGAATCAATTAGATGATTTGGACTTCGCAGATGACCTAGCCCTCCTCTCTCATACACACGACCAAATGCAGATGAAGACAGCAAATGTAGCAGCAGCCTCCGCATCGATAGGTCTCCACATTCACAAAGGAAAGAGCAAGATTCTCAAATGCAACACGGAGAACACCAACCCAATCACACTTGATGGCGAAACTCTGGAAGAGGTGGAAACATTCAAGTACCTGGGGAGCATCGTTGATAAACAAGGGGGATCGGATGCAGATGTAAAGGCGAGGATTGGCAAAGCAAGGGCAGCATTTCTACAATTGAAGAACATATGGAACTCAAAACAACTCTCAACTAATTTCAAGGTTAGAATCTTCAATACGAACGTCAAGACAGTCCTACTGTATGGAGCTGAAACGTGGAGAACTACTACGACCATCATCAGGAAGGTACAAGTATTTATAAACAGTTGTCTACGCAAAATACTCAACATCCACTGGCCGGATACTATCAGCAACAGCGTTCTATGGGAGAGGACAAACCAGCTTCCAGCTGAAGAGGAAATTAGGAAAAGACGTTGGAAGTGGATCGGACATACATTAAGGAAATCACCAATGTGCATCACGACTCAATCCCTAACTTGGAATCCGGAGGGGAAGCGGAAAAGAGGAAGGCCAAAGAACACACTACGCCGGGAAATAGAAGCCGATATGAAAAGGCTGAATAGTAACTGGAAAGAACTGGAAAGGAAGGCTCAGGACAGAGTTGGATGGAGAATGCTGGTGAGCGGCCTATGCTCCTCGACGAGGGGTAACAGGCGTAAGTAAGTAAGTAAGTAATATCAAGCTGCTAAAAAATATACGGTTGTATTATGGTGTACGTTACTTATTCTGATAGATCTAAGTAATATTTAGTATCATTTGGAAATGTAATGGTTGATAGCAGAAAATTGAATTGAAGAGAACAGAAAGGGAAACAGAGAGTAATAAGAATAATAACAGAATTGGAAGAATTATGAAGTATGTAAAAGACAATTGATGGAAGATGTGAAAATAAAGTATTTAATGTTTGATTTTCATATACATTCGTCTAATTAGGATTGAGCCATACTTTTATGATTGAGGGTTAGTGATACAATTCGGCTGTTTGCATAGAAATATGTGGTGAATGATTTGAACTAATAACCCTTTTGCTGAGATTTAAATGAATTAACCACTAAACAAAACTTTTTAACATGGCAATTTTCTAAAGGATTGGAGTGTGTCAAGTAGGCTAGACATATCCAGTTCATGTTATATAATCGTGCATCATATATAAAATATAAACTGTGCAATTAGTATATTTCATCTTAGTGATAATGTATAACCAGTCACTATAAAGTATTACCTATGCTTCTACAGTTTTTTTCACAAAAACAACAGAATTCGAAATTACTGAAAAATAAAACCACCTGTTAACCAACTTTCTCGAGCGTTAAACTAGTAATCTATTTATTGAATCAATGGTTTCTCTAAGTAGGTCAACAATTAATTAGATCTACTTCATTTATGTATACGCCGTTTTAACAAAATATCAGAGATAAGAAGATATTTGATTCTACTACTTATGTATGGAGGTTACTAAATTAATCTTTTAGGGGAAAATTTTATCTATGGTTGAATTAAAGAATGGAATTCAATAGTTATATGTTTATATACTCAGATTGAGTCATCGGTTTTAATGGGAGTATACCTAAACGGATATACGTGAAGGCTATTTCAAACTTCCAATTACTTTAACTGCTATACTGCATCTCCGTGAGTGAATTACAGGATTGTGTAAATTAATAGACGAAAAAAGCCAGTGTTTCAATTGTTTCAGGGAAAATGTTTTTCAGATGTTAAACACTCTGAAAATGAACAGTTTGACCGTATAAGTTTAATGTACTTCCAGGAGTGTTAGTATTTCAAAACGAATTCTTTATTTCATATTCTCCAATAGAATATCGAAATGAAATATTTAAAAAGATATTAATTGTACTTAGTTGAATTATCAGTGGTTACAAGATGTCTAAGCAGTCAACAATCCTAGATAACATACAGGTCATTGACATTGGAGTCTCGACACGCATTTTCGTATATAAACGCTTATTTGACTGTTTGCTATAATTTCTGCATCATTATAAATAACGTAAATGAACTGTATATGGGAAATGAAGAAAGCATACAGGAAGGAATAAATACAAAAGCAGGCGGTAGAGGCCTATATATGCTAGTATATCACCGTTTTTTAGATCGAGATTAATTTAATACAAATATCCGATTATATTCTGAAAATAAACTGATAACATTTGATTCATACAGTCGGTAAGTTTCTGTTGAGTTGCTGTCTTGAAATATGGTCGTCACCATTTCTAGCCTTCAAGCAATTGATGATCCACTGATTGTAAATCATTAAAAAAACATGAACTCACTAAACAACTAAATATGGTAATAATAGACACTTAAACAGTTGTTTACTGAGAAAAAATGAACTAGATTTTTAATCAAAAACTATATTCTGTTAGCTTATTATATTAGAAATAAAGACAAGTACTCTTTGATTTCGTCAGTAAACAACCGAACAATTTGACAGAATTGCACTTACTGATGACCCCTGTATTAAGGGTACTCGTTATGAGATGTGGTAACAAAATACTCGATTTTTTTAGGTGTGTAGTACGTAAATTAATGACGGTTTTAGAAATCTAAAACATTTTATTATTTTCATTGACTGAGGTAAAATAATCTAACTATGTAACATAAATACTTTCTGGTTTATATTTATGACTATCTATTCTAAGAATGTGATTTATCGTTTTAATTGCTTATATAGTTATGCATTACACAATGCAATATTCAAACCTTATTGAAGAAATATATCTTGCAATTCCCATTGTAAATGGATATTTAGCAAAGCAGGCAATCAATACTTGACTAATACATATTAGCAAATTAATATTCATCAAACATCTTTTGTTTGTTCATACAGTTGGCCTATAAAATATCAATCGGACTAAGACTCGTTTTCTTCTTGTACTGGTGAAAGTTTGAGTGGTTCGAGAAAACAGACGGGGCTGAGATCATCGGCAACGTTCTTATATTCATTAACTTTATCGTACTTTCAGCCACATTCCCATTCCCGTATTAGGTTATTGCTATTGATAACTTTTATTAACGACTTTATTTCAAGCGTTTGGTGTTGTCTGCAACTATCTACTGTGTACATAGAGATTGTATCGTGGACTGACATGGCAGATAAAAAAACAGATATAGTAAACTTTAGGGCTTGATATTAAATCTTTTACAAAAATTACAATCTGATGTTCTCAGTTTATCCACTAAATAAATGAAAAGATGATCTAAGGTATTGAATAAGACAAAGTGAATAGAAAAACGTGGATAAACTCAATCATCAGATAGTACTATTTATTCTTAATTTGAAACTCTTTAACAACCAGTACTCTTAAGATAACTGTAGGGCTTTAACCAGTGACTGAATTTTTAACAAATTACTAAATCTTAAATAATGATACTTCTTCATTTAAGATTTGATTATTTAGTTTCTTGTACATGATACTAATGATTGTTTTGTTAAAATTATTTACTTATAGTATCTAGTTGGCTTTACAGCTATTAAATGAATCCCTTGGGTATTCATTTATCTTTTGTACATATAGTAGAGATCAAATAGAATTTACAGTTTAAATTCACTTGATTTACTGAAACTACTGAATTAGTTTGTTAAAGGTTTCATTTGCGTTCAATTGTAACTAAAGTTTAATAGATCTATGACAATATTGTTGTTATATCTACAGTACAATAACACAAAAAAAGAAGATAACTATACAAGAGAACTAAATAAACACAAACTATAAACATCTGCTCTAACTAACAATATAAATTCAAATGAAGTAATTTGAAGTGGAATTTCACAGATTCAATATGGTTACATTAGATACACCCCCAAGAACAAGATAAACCCATTAACATCAGAAAATTTATTTGTGAGACAGTTAATTGTCTGAAATTTAACTACAACGATATTTAGTAGTATAAACTGTTTAGTAGATTGTAATGAAGATGTAAAATTCTTAGTTAAAATAAAATTTATATCAACAAAAATGAAAATATTGAACACTGTTGATGAGTAGCTAAGATAACCATTATGAATGTGGATCAGAATGAACGAGACACGATTAGAGTGTTATCGTGAGCTGTGAACATTCAACTTCAGTTCATTACATTATTTTAGACTTAGATATCAAATGTTTGTTAGATAATTATATATATATATATATATATATATATATATATATATATATAAGGTGGTTGTGGGCACTTGTTAAGAGAACTTGAACGTAAGTTTCATTCTACCTATCAACAAAATAACTGATTCACTACGTGGAAATAAGATCAATCAACATTCAGTTCTACTGGAAGTACGTTGTACACTGTATAGCTTAGTGGTAACACGTCACACTCTTAAGCTTGGTATCGTCAGTTTAAGTCTCATATGTAATATTAGCTCCTAGTTAAACTAGTTCAGTGAAAAAATGATCCTAGCATATTGTTGAAATGTCTGAATCATAATTCATGTATTGAATAAATAAATAAAAATCTCAAGATCTTTCATTAGAACTGAAAACATTTTCCCCGTAAATTTGTCGACTCATTATATTGCATAGTAATATAAAAGACATACATAGTCACTTGTATTATGATTTGATTCAATTTGAAAATATGTTTCTAAAATATGGCACGTTTAATGTTATTATTGTTTCTCGAATAAGTAAATTAATAAACATGAATTTTAATAGTTGAGATCATGAGTCAATTGAAGCTAGACCACCATAGAAAACCTGAAAGCACTGGACAGCCATGGATGTACACTACCGAGGAGTCTCCCAATATGATGGAGAAGATTTGTAGCTCAGGTGGATGATTTGGATGCAGTATTTTTCTCTGAGCTGGATGGTTTAATCTTGAAGCTTTCATCGTCCTTCTGAACGACATCAACTTCGGGGAGTATTTAACACTTCACTTCTCCACGAAGTTGGTGTCATTCAGAAGGACGATAAAAGCTTCAAGATCAAACCATCCAGCTCAGAGAACAAAACTCCATCAAAGTTTCACAATAGGACAAAACATAAATTGATTCTGAAGTACATTATTCAATCATTAAATCTTTAAATGAAATTAATTTATAAAATAAATTTTAATCATACATTATTTACTACTTACTAATTCATTTAATTCTGAATTATTACTTAAAAATTGATATCTTCTTTCATCATTCAATGTACAATTTAATTTTCTCAATTCATCATCAACATCAGTATCATTATCATCATTCGGTACATAATTTGAATTATTTTTATGATTAATTGATTTATCACATCTTAATGATTTACGATTTCTACTATTATCATTATTATGATTAGTAGTAGTAGTAGTATTATATACAGAACTTGTAGATATATCATTATTTACATTATTATTAGGTAAAAAACAATCACCAATATTTCGTATATTTGTTGCTGATTTCGTTTTATTAGTAGTATTATTAGATGATATAGTATTAGTAGTATGTGTTATTGTATTTGTTGTTGAAAGTTGATTATTTGATGAATGATTTATGTTATATCTAGGTGAAATTGTAGTTTTTACAGTATTATTATTATTATTATCATTGATATTTATGATATCTTCTGTACTTTTATATTTTTCAGTGATTTTATTCAATTTTTCACGATTCAATTTTAATGAATTTGATTTTAATTTATTCATAGCATTTTCATCTTCATTTTCATCATCATTATTATCTCTTTCTGTTTGTTGTTGTAATTCTATACGATGTTGAATGTATGAAGTTAATTCTGTATTGAAAGTATCTAATGGAGGCGGTGAATCAGGTCTAGCTGTAGCCAATTCACATTGTTGTAATAATAAAGCCAATAAAGGATAAAGTGGATGACTGCAAAAAGGTTGTAAATTTAAACAATACATTGTGAATATTATAAAAAAAAATTTGGATTATATTTTTCATTATTAATTGATATTAGTTAAACAAGCAATGACTCTGATGCTGGAAATCATTAACTGCGGTAATTATAATAATAATCACTTGTTCAATGGTACAAATGTTAATAGAGTAAGGAATTATCTATATCATCTGTGTAATATTATAATAGATTTCTGTCTATCATGGATTAAATCTAAAAACTATTTAAAGACAGATTTTTTTTTAAATGTCTTTTATCAGTCAGTATCTGCCACCCCATCTACAATCACAAGACAATAACATAGCAATCAAGCTGCAACAACTATTTCTCCCATCTACTGAGTCAAAGATAAATTAATTCCATTGTATTTGTCGCTCGTTTTCTTTTTCAACAAGCAGAGGAGAAAAACAATATGAACGGGGATATATACAGTTGGTGATGACAATTATTCTGTCAAAGCGAATCCAAAATATAAAGGCTGATTGTAATATTTTTACAGTTAAAAATAGGTAACCTATGGGTTTGAGCATGGCCATTTAATACAATCGAATTCTTTAAATATTATAATTGTATGAATGAACCTTGTTCGCTTAACTGTTATTTCAAACTATTTATCAAATTCAAATAATCAATGAAGTTCTGATGTGGTCTAGTGATGTTATTATAACAAAAATGTTTTTTCTACATAATATAATAGATAATATGTTAGCAATATATAGATGAAACACAACTGTAGATCAATAAATCTATACAGAGGAGTCCGTACAAAGTAATCCTGTGATCAAGTCAAAGATTTCCATGGAACTTCCATACTTTTTATTCTAGAAACTAAAATTCATAGTAAAATACACAATTTAATTTCTTTTTCCTCAGAAATAAATGATTAGAGTTAAAATTATCTACAGGTGATTCATTTGTTGTCGAATAGTCCAGTGATTTTCAATAATTCTTCAAGTAAGATTAATTAATTATGTTAAACGAAATTTAAATAAGTAACTAAATGTTCAGTAAATAAATCATTTTATCATTGTTGAAAGCGTGAGTCAATTGAAGCTAGACCACCATGGAAAACCTGGAAACACTGGACGGCCGTTTCGTCCTATTATGGGACTCCTCAGCAGTGCGCATCCACGAACCTGCTCTCGCGAGCGAGATTCGAACCCAGGACCTACCAGTCTCGAGCCGAAGCCCTTAACCGATAGACCACTGAGCTGGCATCCAACGGTGTTAATGTCTAACTTCAACTGATCCACAATTGACTCACGCTTTCAACAATGATAAATACTAAATCTCCACAAAACCCCTTCTATGATTAATATAATAATATGCTCACTAGTGATTTCGAGAAGTATATCTAGGAGCTCTAGTGAGAAGCAGTGACCAGTGGAGTTCAAAACCACGTCTGTTGTGAGATAGGAACTCACTGAAGACAATTGGTGAATGGTTGCTCAACTTCGTGGATCAGTTGAAGTTAGACATTAACACCGTTGGATGCCAGCTCAGTGGTCTATCGGTTAAGGGCTTCGGCTCGAGACTGGTAGGTCCTGGGTTCGAATCTCGCTCGCGAGAGCAGGTTCGTGGATGCGCACTGCTGAGGAGTCCCATAATAGGACGAAACGGCCGTCCAGTGTTTCCAGGTTTTCCATGGTGGTCTAGCTTCAATTGACTCACGCTTTCAACAATGATAAATACTAAATCTCCACAAAACCCCTTCTATGATTAAAATAAATCATTTCTCTAGATAAATACCTATATCTCTCTGTCACTTGTTTCAAGTACCTTCAACCATCTTATAAAATCTTATGTCATCTTCAGTGTAAATTGAAATAATAAAGTAATTAAAAATATATCAGTGTAATTTGTAATTAAATTATCAGTGAATATAGTAATGAGAAATGGAGACAGACATGAGAAGAATGAACAAAAACTGGATAGGACTAAAAAGGAAGGCCCAGTACAGAGTGGGTTGGAGAATGCTGGTCGGCGGCCTATGCTCCATTGGGAGTAACAGACGTAAGTAATTAAGTAAGCAAGAATATAGTAATAAACGATAAGTTAGTTACCAATGAATTTGAATTGATAACAATTAGAATTCGAATGCTTTAATTACTTTTCATACTGCATTACACTAATGTCTTTTTTTGTCTTTTCTTACAACATATAACCAAAATCATAATAAGTTAATCTAAGCTTGTCGAAGATGGAACTAAATTTGAGAATTTTAAATATTCCAATGACCAGTTATGAAATGTAAAAATTCTAGATTTTCATATTTATCTACAGTTGTTATTATTCATATCTCAATACTAGATTTAGGTCAAATTATTATGTTTAAGTATTTATCAAAATAGATGAAGTCACTAATGTGGTGTGGGTTACTTATATCCACATAAGTAGTATGTGATGGTGGTCGGGCATTGAATGTATTTCAGTAGAAGATCGATAAGGAAAGAACTAGAACGAAACGTAATTGGTATGAAAATGCATGAACAATAATAATCGGAGACAATGAATTGACATTTGCAGAAGGAACGGTTAAGATTGAGACGATTGATTAATAGTTTGCAAACTAACAGTTCACTATATGGTTCTCATATTTTACTGTGATATTCTGTAATTTTGTGATTAAATACATTCGACTGTCACCACTCGTCTTGTTGTTCACTACAACTATGATGTTTACTTTTTATGAGTTATCACTGAGATACTCTACAAAAATACTAGTCACAATGTCCTTCAATTAATAAGCAGTATATTTCGTTGGAAATTAATCATTTTAAAATAAAATATAAATAATTTATGTTTAATTAATTTAGTGAAGTAAAAAATCGGACAATAATAAGAAAGTTAACTAACCTCATAATGAACTTTTTGTCAGCTTCTAGTTCTGGATCATTTTGTTGAAGTTGTAATGTGGTAACAATTGGAAAACTGGAAGTTTAAAAAAAAACGAAAAGGAACTATAAACTTAAACTAGTCTAATTAAGAATAATTCAATGACATGTGAATAAATTGTACAAAGTAAAGAATTTAAGTTTAACTGAAAAACGGTTATATGGTGCAATCTAGTTTTCAGTGGCTCTCTAATTGATATAAGTAAACAATAGAGGATAACTTTTCATCGAATGATCTACACAAACTCTCTGTCTTTATAATAACCCTAAGTTTACGAGTGACTCATTATGACATGAATCCTCGGAGATCGAGAGCACACGTGCGGTTGACAGAAGTTAATCATATAGGTAGTATGATTAGTATTACTTATTTTATTTCGAGCCATACTTTCACAGGTTAATGGCTTTGTTATCAAGTAGGAAAATAAATTCATTAAACATAGTTTTTATACTATGAATTGTATTCAAGAGCCATTGAATAATTTTGGTTGTTGTTTTCAATGTTAATTTACAATTTACTTGGTAACATTTTAAAACAGATGGAGAGTGAACGTTTTAGTGGAAAAGTTAAACTACTGTAATACAGTTATCTACTACTGACGATTTTTCAATACAATTAAACGTAATAATATTAAATTCACTTGGTATTGTTTACTTGAATCTTCCCATTAATGTTTAGGACAGCAATTGATCAGTCTGTTAGTGGCATATGTGCAACCTGTGCGGATTGCCTCGATGTCGCCTTAATTCACAAGCATTCTAAACAACGACGGATAGTGGTTAACAGTGGAATCCTATTTCGGACTCCTCAGCTGGATGTATTTGAATATCAGAGTTGATATTCACTCTGGGACTCGAACCCAGTACCGTTCACTTCAAACGCGTTCTGTCAATTTACCCTATATCTTTAAGCATTAATACATCTTTTAGTACAATACAAAACTGACCTTCTTTTACTTTAACTAATGATAGGTCATATGACTTGTGATCTCTATGTTTTCATTTCTTCTCTTACATATCTTACAAATCCCAGTTCATATAAAAAAAACATCGAATATATGTTATGATACATTTAACCTACTATTCTTTAAATTAATCTTAGTTCCCATTAAAATTCAAGTTCACTATCATTCATCAATTTAACAAAACTATGATGACGTAGTTTCCCTATCCATAAATCTTTTACTGATAAAGCTTATCAGATAAAAGATTCTTCCGTTTAAGTAATTTGTACGGATATGACAGACAACAGTGACCAAAGTATTGATGATCACCTGGTGGCGTATTCACTCAATGGACTATAACATATCATTGAAAAGCTTTCTACTACTCAATACTGTTAAAATTATGAGAATTCACTGGTCGGTATTTCACATTAAAAGATAATGCAATTTTATGAAGTTGAGATCGTGAGTCAATTGAAGCTAGACCATCATGGAAAACCTGGAAGCACTGGGCGGTCGTTTCGTCCTATTGTGGAACTCTTCAGCGGTGCGCATCCATGGTTAAGTGCTCCGGCGCGATACTGATAGGTCCTGGGTTTAAATCTCGCGATGTGGGGTTGTGGGTGCGCACCGCTGAAGAGTCCCACAGTAGAATGAAACGACCATCCAGTGCTTCCAGGTTTTCCATGGTAGTCTGGCCTCAATTGACTCATGATTTCAACTACAAAAATCTCAATTTGTCATTTAAGTTTTTCGTATAGGTACCCTATTTGATTGGATACAATATATATAATAAAAATTATAATCAATTAAGTTCCAGTAATTAACAATTTTCACATTATTCAGTTTCTAGTAGGTTAAAATTTGTGTTTTCCTTTTTTTCTACTATTATCCACCATTTAATCAAGATATTATTATTTAAATCATTAAAAAAAATTTGGATTCCATAGTCGACATGGAAGAGTAATACTGTAATAGTCAATCCATTCGATAATGTATTTGGATTGTAATTAACATAATTATAAAGGATACTTGTATTTAGATAATCAATCAAAGATTTTTTTACCTTCTTGTAAGTATTTAATTATTTACCGTTGTAGTTCAATTTTATAGTTGATTATTATTACTTACAATTAGATATAAATAGATGTACACATTATAAGATAATGAACTGAATAATGATGTATTACATATTCAGTATGAACAACCATATACATTTTTAGGGTAGGTATCAATAAATTTCGTACTTGTAATTCTAATAAGTATCATTATGATAAAACATCTTAAAGCTAATAAATTATAAGATATATTCACATGTATTAGTAATGACGTTATAAATAATTTTAGAAGGGGTTATTGTGGATATTATAGTAATTTTAACTATCTTACAGATCTACAAAAAAACCCTTGTGATATTAATTAATATATGCTCACTAACGATTGGCATTCTTGGAGTTCTAGTGAGAAGTAGTGACTAGCGGAGTTCAACAAGATCTGGATGCCGGCTGCCTCAGTGGTTTAAAAGTGTGGCGTTCGCACACGGAACCGATATGTCCTGAGTTTGAATCTCGCGAGGCGGGATCATGGATTTTATTTTATTTTATTTATATTTGACTTTTCTCAATGAAATTTATATTGCTATATTAAGGATTAGTAGGTCATAACCAATCAAGTAAATAATGCTTTTTCGTCATTATTCCATTATTGTTTTTTTCTTACATCTCCAATGGAGGCGTCCATGATGATTGATAATTTGAACAATATTTTACAATAACTGATCTTCTAAAAAACTATCTAAAGGAATTACATCTGACATCGATCGGTTCATGATCTCAATTAAAGGAATTACACCAAAAATATGTTTATATTGTAATAATTAGTTATATAAACAAGTTAATGGTGTAGCGGTAGGTTCACTACTGGTCCATCATCCAAATAGCGGTTGGATGAACAATTAAGAGAACATTGTACTTTAACAAATGATCGATAATTCCCATTTATTTATAATATATATGGATAATATATTCATCGTGTGACAAAGAAATTAACTTGATTGTCACCCTGGTTAAGTTGAATAGTTATCATCAGTCGATTGAGTAAATAATGTAAGCAAAGATTAATTTGAAAGTTCACTTCCATAATGACTTGTTGAACAGAATGTTAAATAGTTTCTAACAAAGATCAACGTACAGAAAACTAATAAGGAATAATCAGTATACGAATTTCCAAAGCTATATCACATTTTACAATAATTATACTTTAAATAAGAGGTTAATAACGAAGATAATTAGAGAGAGTAGTCATTATTTGAAATTTGAGTCATATGGAAACAAAATTAGAATGACAAGATAAAATCAACTAGACTAACTTGAAACCATCTGAATTTACTTCAAATATGTATAATTATATACAACAAACTTATTCATTCCTTAAAAGTAGTCAAATTTTAAAATATCCCACAATAAAAATTATACTACTATTTAATATTCATTTAGTTTTCGTTATTTCTTTGCCGCAAACCAGCTTCCAGCTGAAGAGGAAATTAGAAAAAGACGTTGGAAGTGGATAGGATATGCATTAAGGGAATCACCAATGTGCATTACAAGGCAATCCCTAACTTGGAACTTGGAAAGCCAAAGAACACATTACGCCTGGAAGTTGAAGCCGATATGAAAAAGATGATTAACAACTGGAAAGGATCGCCCAGGACAGAGCTGGATGGAGAATGCTGGTGAGCGGCCTATGTTCCTCCACGAGGGGTAACAGGGTAAATAAGTAAGTAAGTGGGAAAAATACTCAAACGATTTGATATTCTTATGCAGATTATTTTGTTTATATTTATAGAAATCTCATAATGTTAATATATTGCTTCAGACATCATTCAATTAAATGAACTGAAGTATTACAGTTAACAACACAAATTAATCTTAGAAAACGACTGAAAATCAAGAGACACTGAAAAGCTGTTTCTTTCAAGTACGGATATCCTCAGCAGTGTATATCTAAGATCCTATTGGGAATTTAACCCACAACATTCGGTTCTCAGTGAAAGCGTTTAAACTTTAGATAATTGGGTTACCACTATATTATTTGCATTTCTAACTTCAGTCAGTTCGAAATATTGTTCACACATCTTACAATTCACTTGGTAGGTAACTGCATCATACCGATAAAACCTTGGGTGGGAAATTCTGAAGATCCCTGTTCATGGACCAAATAGCTATCCAGTGGTTCCTGATATTCAGTGTTTGTTAACCTAACTTAAGTAATTTCATAATGTTAACTACGAAAGTCAATGGTCTTTAAAATTGCTTTACATTTAGCATCAATAATTTATTAACTTCCTGTTAGATGCCATGTAATATAAATGATTTGATATTACATGACATTATCATTTCTGGCAGAATACACTGATATAGTACACTGATATCAGTAAAACAAAATCAAACAGTAAATCTGATTGAATTAAAAATGAAAGCAATATTTTATGTATAAGGATAAGTAGTATATGTATAAGTTAGAATTTGATTTTTCAAATTATTAGTCCATGATTCTAAATTCGTTAATAATGTAAGAAAACTTTATGCCCTTCAAATTAACTTATGTAGGATATACTATGGTGTATGCTATTTATGTCGATAGACATAAGTAGTATGTAAGACCAATCAAAAGAGGAATGCATGGCAGCAGAGCGTTATGAGAGTCAACTTGAAGAAAACAGAAATAGAAAGGAATTGTGATTGGAAGAAGTATACAGAATGTGGAGGAAAAATGATGGAATTTTGCAAAGTATTCAGTGTATGGTTCTCATATTTTACTAAGAGATTCTGTAATTCTGTATTAAACGATGAATTGGTCGTCTACAACAGTACTACTATGCTGTAAAACATATTCAGTCACAAAAAAAAATTTAGAATAATCTAAACAAAGTGAGTCTAAATATATCTCTTGTAAACAACTTTTTACTGGCGACTAACACTGTACTTCATTAAGTCTGTTTGGTCCTGTTTGGGACCCTTTGGTTCTTGTGATAATATACCGATTTGTTTACTGAAAGGATATGAGTCCAGGTAAAATAGAACACCAAAAAATA